CGGGGTTTTGCTTTGCCTTTGGTCTACGCAGAACAAATGCTATACCAGTTATAGGTATATGATCTTGCGTTAGTATACGTCAGCAACCTCAGCTTCTGAATGCCTCGGATTAGTGTGTTTTGACTTTTGACTAAAGTAGTCAAACACTATTTCCTCTGGAATTCGCCAATGTCATTATTTTTCTGAAATTTATTAAGTGGTTGCAGTTGGTATAGGTCGAGAACGGTATCTCTGATTGCTATTAATTGAACCGGTCGATAGTCTAAAAGAACCTCTTGATACTTAAGCATCAGCAAGAATACTAGAGGTTTTTAAAGCACTTCCCAGAACATCTTCACACTTATGTCACATAACTAAGTGATGCGATTCACCTAATTTTTATTAGCTTGCAGTATTAATTTTTTTCTGACACATGAATTTTTTATATTGCATTACGCAACATCAATAAAAAACTTTTTTACAACCATGTATGTTACATCTGCTAAAAGAATATTTTTTCGATGTTCTATTTTTCTGTGTGGTAGATGCGTTTCATTATTTAAACTTTATTTTTAGTACATTTTCCTCAAGGTTCTCAGCATTCTTGTTTTATTTTCTAGATGCGACGATCACTGGACAAGAAGCAAATGAAGCACGAAATCCAACTGAAAAACATCAACGAAGTGAGGGACAAACACTTGATTTGCATAGGTAGACGATCAGTAGGCACTACATTAAGCCGATCGGAAGAGTTTTACCGATGGGAACACCATTGGAATTTTACTTCCGACTGGTTTCGTTTTAGGGTAATCACAACCCTAACCCCACTAGGGGGAGGGGAGTGAGCTGTAGCGGTAGGTAATTCCCCAGAATTATTAGCCACAGCATTCATCATTGAACATTAGATGCTGACCCTCACTGTTTTAGTCGATTTGTCTAGTTGAAGGCTTCCGGTCAAGCATCCACGCCACTTGTCACGCCATCGTGTTATATTCGTGCACGATCCTTAGTTAGTTAAGCAACCATCTCGCACTCCAGTTTCGTCCTGAAATATAATTCGTAATTTGGACGGTCAGTTCTGGTGTTTTGCTTTGCCTTTGGTCTACGCGGAACGAATACTATGGAAGTTGTGAGTATTAGATCTTGTGTTATTATACTTCGTACTATCCGTGAACGTCAACACCCTCAGCCTCTAAATACTAAACGTAGTTTTTCGTGCAGTTCTCCAATAATTTTTCCCCTAACAAATGTATCTATCCTTATCCAAGCGATTAGATCGTGTTCAGATGAAATATAGTATTTTCAGTGGGATAATAGTTGCTCTCTAATTAACAGTAAAGTTTTCGGGAGAAATAGCACATAATTTCCACAAATAATTCGAAGCATGTTTAGAACTCTAGTCTCACTGGCATGTATTCGAATTAAATCCACTTCCACTTGACGACAACACTATCTGCCTGCTTACAAATCTAGATAAGGAAACCTACCTCCGACATTTAAACTTGACCTTTGTAGGCTATGTTGACATGGTCTTGTCAAAAATATTTACAGGTGTAAAACAGGAGTAGGATCCCTTGCTATTTTTGATAATAACATTGATTACAAGTCAGTCACCCACTGGTCAGTGAGGTGTTAACGATTTCGAAATTTCCGGAGTCAAAAACCGTTAAACATCTTATTGTTAATCGACAATTCACTCAAAAATGCTTCAGTTTAGTGAAACCACTAACACATCTTCTTTGAAGAAACACTAGAGGTGTGAATTTCGATGCATCTACTAAGAACGCTTTCGCTAGAGTCGAAAGACCATCACAGATACCGCTCTTCTAATTCACCAAGGTCCAACAGCACGTTCATGTATCTCAGCCAATGCATCCGAAATGGCGATCGGTGCACACCCACAACAAATAGTCAACTTTTGGCGGCGGCACATCAGAGGAATAAAGTACGATACCTTTGACAGAAAAATTTTGAGTGTGTGTTATGCTATGCGTCTCTTTTCACATTCGATAGGAAGTCGTGAATTCATCATTTCCACGGACTACATACTCTCCGAAGTCAGGATCAGACAAATATTCACCAGGAGAACCACTCCACCTAGACTACATTACACAATTTGTATCTGGAGATAATAACACTACATCAGATGCCTTGTCACAAATCTGGTCATCCTTCTTAATTGATGGCACAAACTTTGTGATTCTGTTCCATCTTAAAATAGGTGTATCTTAGCCTAAAAATTACAACGGGAGACGTCACGCATAGGCAAGAATACTATTCTTTCTGATATTTCCACGTATACTCATCCGATTTTACTTAAAATTTACCGATTCAACATCTTCAACACTTCACACAGCTTGTCTAACCCAGTCATCCTGACTATATTCAAGCTAGTCACTGGTTGGTCTTACTGACCTGACATGTATATTTTGGTAAAGCACTGTGCATAGCTTTCCAAAATGTTGAAGTAATAAGGAAAATAAAAAGTTTTCTTGGTCCTTTACTTGCTACCAGAGGCCCGCTCCGGCCATATCAAAATGGATCTAGTTGGAAACCTTCCAGAATTTCACGGAAATACTCATAAGATGACATGTGCTGGTCGTTAAGCTCGGTGGCCTGAGATAGCGCTCCTCAAGGACGAATTTGCCGATACAGTCGCAGGTGTTTTCGTGGAGGCATTGATTGACAGTCTCGGGTATTCATCTTCTATAACGACTGGACACATGCGGCAATTCAAAAGTGGTCTATTTAAAACTCTGGTTTAGCTAATTGTTTATATGTGCTTCAGAACTACACCCTACCATCCTCAGACAAGCTGCATGGTAGAATTCTTCCATCGACAGTTAAAGGCAGGACTTTCAGTCACAAACACCACACACTCAATCGAGTCACTATCACTAATACCCTTCGGGATACGGAGTGCCCTGAAGGATGATAATGAGCATACATTCTGGAGAGACCTCGAGGTTCCCAGCGAGCCTCTACACTTATCTTACAGGGTGGGACGAATATGTATCATTCTTAAGAAGTGAGCTATCTTTTGCTTAGGACTTAATTTTTTCGTTAAATGAGGATTAATGTTCACTGTAGTATACATCGTACAGTGAATGTACTTTTTATGGTTCTCCATGTACATGTAATGCTTTCTTCAAATATTCACCATTTTTTCCAAGTCAGGCATGAACTTTCACATCCAGCTGTTTCTGGTAGTTTTTTTTGCAGTAAAGTTCTCAATTTTCTTGCATTGCCTTTGAGGTGCAATGGGCACTGGATTAGCAACAAACGAAGCTCCAGGATGCGTGGACGAAAATTAGACGAATCTTTGTGGATATATCATACCGGCAAAGGCAGAAGACCGGGGGATTTACTTTTCTCCATCGTGCCCATCGCTAGTTTTAATAAAGATGCCATTAGTCGATTTTTACTTCCTAAAGATTCAGGGTCCACATGAACCAACCTACGACAGGAGTAAGCTTTAGTGGTGGACTATTCCTCAAAATTACCATGTTGATATATGTCTTACTTATTAACTGTTATTATTAACACTGTTCAAATTCATTAAGGGGAATAAATGTATGAAATTTCCGAAAAAACGCCTCCCCAGAGAATCTTTCAAATCACTGATTCATTTGGTGACAATTCGTTGCAGAATATCCAGAGAAGTGACTCGAATAAAATTTTACGATGAATGCTTGCAGTCGCACTGCTTTCCTCGCCACCTCATGAAGTCACTACGTACTTGCAAATTACCGCCCTCCCTCAAAAACCTTTGACGTATCACGAAATCGCATATTGAATCAACAGAGTCTCTGATTTCAAAATTGAGAACTGAAGCCCGATCCTTTGATGGTGTCGTCAATAGTTTGAATATAGTATGCCGGATCAAATTTATCAATTTCATTCAAGGACTTCAACAGGAAACATGTGAAAATTTTTACAAAACTCTGTCGAAATCCCTGACAAAGGAGAAATTGTGTGACGTTTTACCATAAGTTCTTATTTTAAACACAATACAAACACTATCTTACGGTTTCTTTGCGTAGGGTATGTAAACAATGCCTGATAATTGCAGATGTAGCCAAGGTAGCGGGAAGGATAAGTGACTAACTTAAAACGACCAGGGAAGCACTTCCATCGCAGTTTGGGACTCTTCAACAGCATGAGAAATATGTTGCAAAATGGTAGAAGTCGGAATTCATGAGCCACTGGGTCAGGACCTACAAGCTCTCCTTGTAACTGGGAGGTTCTGGGTTCAAACGCCAGTAAGGGAAGTAACACTGAAGACTTCCACACGGGGACGAAGACATCTTTTCAGTGCTCCTAGTTTTCCAGTGGTTGTCTAACTGACGTCAGCTCATGATCAAATCTGTAGCCAATCAGATCCCTGCAACCAACACCTGAACATTAACGAGATCTACTAAGTACTTGATTGGTTAATAAATACATATAAACTCCCCACCTTAATTAATGAAATCACTGCACACAGAAAAATGACGGACTTCGCTAAAAACACTGGAGGTACTGGACGTTGAAAGTTCTAAAATAAGACTGGAAAACACCTTAAAATCATTCATTACATTTTTAATAGTGATTGATTGGCAATAGTATGTGTTAGTAGCAGATACAGATACATTTAAGAATGCAGAATACTGTTCAGTACAGTCTAGTACAACTCAACAGTAAACACTTAAATTTTCCAGTGTTGGCTCGCAGTTAGAGAACCATCGTAAAACCAGGGAGTGCTGAAGAGGTGTTTCGTCTTCTTGTAGGACTCTTCATCAGTACTCACCCACCGGGTTTCGGACCCAGTCACAAGACGAGCTTGTAGACCATTCAGTCACTGGAACCCGATCCAATGGCCCATGAATTCCAACTTCAACCAATTCGCGACGTATAACACAAGCTAATGTCACTGGCGTGTAATTATCCTCTAAACAGGACCGGTCGGTCCTGAAAACCCCAGTTTCTTTGGTTATAGCAAACTACTATACGTCTTCACGCAAGTCGACAGCTTTTGAGAATTGATCGAAAATGCATTTCTTTAAAAAAAGCTTTTGACAAATATTAAAATATTAACAAAATAGATCTGATATTTTTAAGAAAGGTATCATTGTTACAATTGATGTCACGCTTCACTTTTTGTCGAATCATCTGTGTTTATCTTCAAACATTCTTTCACAGTATTTGACAGTTTGTGTACATCAGCACTTTCATCTTCTTTGAATGAGCCAGTATCTCCACCGCAAGAGTCTATAGAGGGATCTGTAGAAAAGGGAGTTATCGGAAGGGTAAAAATACTTGAAATACATACACAGTTTATAACTATTTGGTTTTCGGTTAATTAACGAAAAATGAATGATAAATATAGCTGGTAAAGGTCAACTAGAGTTTAGCTGTAAAGAAAGAGCTTTTAAATCAGTCAGTAAGAAGTTCACACCGCAGCTGAACACTCCGATTGTCCTTCACCAACAGTAAGTATTCTTTCGTCTCTGTAAAAAATAAGTCCTCTCGTCTGACCGCCTCCATGTGCATCTATCAGTTCACCTACTATTGTGAAGCAAGGTACATCAGCTGTGGCTAACGCAAATGTCTTCTGCAAGGATAAAAGAGCCCATTTCAGCATGGTTTTACAAAGAAGAATGAATACGAAAAGCTCTATTCTAGAAAACTTGATTGACGTCTATCACTCTGACTGACTGGGTGGTTTCAACATAGAACTCTGCATAGAAGTGCAGCAGTCTGAGGTGTTATGCTTTATGTAGTACACAAAGGAAGACAAAAAAGAAGCAAAAGAACAATGATAAACAGAAACGTGAGAGATAAAATAGCAACATGGAAAAACAATAGGGTTTTATTGGATATGACTGATCACAAAAAGTGAGTGCAACTGCGTCAATTTGTCAACCCTGACACCATTATTTGAAGATCATCTATCGAATTCATGCTAACTTGATGCGTTTTCTTCTTTGCAAACTTCTAAAGACAATGGAGGACTTGACTATTCATGAATTCAGGCCAGACTTTTGAGTACAAAAGCAGTATGTGCACAGTCCTGATTTCTACTTTGGCTGTAGAATAGGAAGGAGAGATAGACATCTCTTCACTTTTCATTTTGTTTATTTAGTCTATGTGTCCTTCCCTTACTATTAAAATTGTCATTATTTCTTCGTTTTCACGAGAGACTACGCAGAGTTACCATCTAAAGTGTTGTCCGTCATGGATGCCCTGCCCACTTTCCCCATTTCAATACAATTTCATCATAGATGTACTAATGGGCTTAACCCTAACTAAATTCAGCGACTCAGGGATTGACTTATTACCAGGGAATAATCTCGTTGACTTAGAATATGTAGATAATGTAGTCCTCCATCCTAGGTGAAAACACTGACAAAATGCAGAGTCTTCCGAACACCTAGAGCTGAGCAGTAATCTTCGAAAGTCAATGCTGTCAAATGTAAGATGATGCTACAGGACTAGACTAAATCGACTCCTAGCTCAGAGATAAGGAGTGAATTGGTTGGTGGGGCATGTTGACCACTTCACTTATTGAGGGAGTTACATAAGCCAGTGGGATAATAGCTGACGAAATCTCAGTACGGATACCGAAGATTCATTCGGCATATGCCAACTTACGCTATCTCTCGCTTAATAGGCGTGATATCCGGCTGGTTATCGACCAAAGGACTGTGTACTGCTCGGCAGTACGCTGTGTCCTCTCTTATGGGTGGAAGTGAGATGTGGCCATTGAAAGTGGAAGACATGAAAATCCTGGTTAGCTGTCTTTGTTCTGTCTCCCGTATGAAGTGGTATAATAAGTTGAGCAATATTGAGGTTAGGAAAGGAGAGAAAATCAATCGACGAGGTTGTTAAGTCACATCGTTTGAGATGGCTAGGACACGTGTTACGCATACTTGGCCATCTCCTTCATCGATGGGTAATGTTAGCCGATATAGGGTCAAGTTGCAAAAGAGCGAGTGGTCAAACAAAACATAGCTTCATCAGTCAATGATATCCACAACAGTTAGTGTAAGCGAAGTAGGAAGGTGCAGACTTTCTGGTTGGGGTCGTCGGGATAGTAAAAACCAGTGACTGGAGACAATCGGTGATATGGTTTAAAATCGTTCTGAATGATGGCGCTGACGCATTCAGTCTTTATGATTCATAATATCCAACAAAATTTTATTGTTCTTCCATATCATCATTCTGTTTGCCTCATATCTCTGTTTATCATCTCTTTTTACTCTCTTCTCTTGCTACATGGAGTGTGGCAACTGGATCTGCTGTACATCTGTGCAAAGCTCTACACGCTGGAACCAGTCAATCAGTTTTGTTTTCACTTAGAATAATTTCCAGCATCATTTCACGTGTCCCATTTATTATTTTAAGTTAATTTGTTTTCTGTAATCATAAAATCTATCCTATCAAACTTCTTATTTTTTGTTTTCTTTGTCTACTAATTTTACATTCCTTCCCAAGACCTATACACTGTATGAACCACTCTATATATGAAATTATTCGTTTTAACACTAGAAATTTAGGGATGATCATAATCGCCAACATTTAAATTGCACTTTACATTATTGTTATTTTAAGGATTCACACCTTTGTTTCAATTTTCTCACGGGATATAGTTTCTTAAGAAACATATATATATATATTCGTCGAAAAGGATGTCTCTTCGCCCAATATCGTGTTCTTAGTTTCTCTATTTCCGACAATTAACTGACAAAACAACGTAGAACTCTACGGCATTAGTTGGATTTACCACACTGTAAAACACCCATCACTAACTTAAATCATGAACTATGCATAACACAGTTTCGTTTCTCTCCCTATATTTTGCTTAAAAATATACAGTGGAGAAAATTAAAATAAAAAAATCCGACTGCCTACAACATATAAAGAACCTCCATGCATTTATTCCCCTTGATGAATTTCAAAAAAGCAAGAACAACAGTGGTTTGTGCAGAATAATATGGTACCATCATTTATTTCGTTGGCTTCTCATCAGCTGCTTACAGCCTAAATAAATTATGAGGTTTGCGTACAGAAAAGTTTTAACATACTTGCAAATTTTACATGTTGTCAGTTGACAAAAAGTTCCACAATAAGTGAACAGTGCTCAGAAAATTGCGCTTATATAGTTTTACACAGGCAGTTCAAGTTTAAACAAAATAAATGTATGCATACAATGGTAAAAGAGTTACGTAATAAAGACGAAATATGCGTTAGATACAGAGTGACTAATAAATTAGGTAACAATGTACTGAGTTCAACTCAAATCATAGAAACAAGAGACAAGCAAAATTACAGATTATAAAAGGGGGTGAGGTTAAAGACAAAGATTACGTAATCAGATGAGAGAATAAAGACATTCAGTTACCAGGGCAAGGAAAGATTAATAACTGCTTCTTTCTGAACACATAAATCTGGTTTCAAGCGTTTGATAGAAATTGCTTCGGCAAACTTGAGGAGAATGGAACTCCTTTGTCTATTGATAATTTTAAAGGATTTCTCGATTTCTACCTCATGACCCGTGTCGAGAAGATGTCTAGTAATAGCGCTACTATAAGAGTTTGTTCCCTTGAGACGTAGGCTTTTCGGCACATGTTCAGAAAATCGGAGGTGTGCCCTTCTTTCTGTTCTCCCAATGTAACTGCTCCCGCAGATACACGTAAATTTGTATACACAGTTGGAGTTAACATGAGAAGGGTATCTATCGACTTTTGACTGCACCAAAGAGCATGTTGTTCGATGGACGGGAACCAACTTAGCTGCAGGATAGGCTCTGGCTAGTGACGTTCTCAGTCTTCTGTTGACCATTTCTGCAATGTTTTCACCTTTAAAATCTAGTTGAATGAAGACAGGCTTTTTCAACTGTGATTTGTTTGGTATTTGAGCCTTCACATCTTCCATATTTGTTAATGAATCTTTGAGGATAACCGTTGTTTTTCAGCACCTTTTCGAGAATCATAAATTCTTCCTCTAGTTTCTCTGTAGAGCATATTCTCCTTGCTCTATAGTACAGAGTCTTGACTAGTGCTCGTTTATAGCTATTTGGACAAAAACTATTAAAATGTAAGTATTGTCCATTCCATGTAGGCTTTCGGTAAATTGACCTCTGGAGATTACCATCTTCTAGGCGTTGCATGGCGATGTCAAGGAAATGGAACTTTCCATCTTTTTCATTTTCCATGGTAAATACAATATTTGTATGTGCTTTGTTGAATAGGCTGAGTAGGTAGGAGGCATGACTTTCGTTGTTGCATACTACAAATGTGTCATCGACAATAGGAAGTTGTTTGATCAATTGAATGTGCGTCGGTGGCACAGTGGTTAGGACTCCCGCCAACCATGCACATGGTCCGGGGTTCGACCCCCTGCCGGCGCACACCCGATATCTATGGTCGGCCTGCGAAATTGGGCTACCGATATCACATGCTGAAAATTCCATACTTGTACCAAAAATACGGTGTGGAATCAAGCTATAATAAATAAATAAATAACTTCGTTTTCTCAAGGTTTGACATGAAGATATCTGCTAAAACAGGGCTAAGTGGACTGCCCATGGCTACACCATCTATTTGTCGGTAAAGAGTGTTATCAAACTGGAATTGTACACCCATGGTACACATTAGCAGTAGGCGTTTGAATTCTGACTCTGGTAGTGGAAGAAGATCAGACTGTTGACAAATGATTTCATTGATTGGGATCATTGTGAACAGGGAGGTTGCATCAAATGAAACCATGAACTTATTTGAAACGTTCATATGATTCACGCTTTCGGCGAAATGAAATAAGTCTTTTGTGGTATGCACGGCTAGCCGTCAGCTAATGGGTTCCAACTTCTCCGCAAGCCAACGGGCAACCTTATGTTGAGGAGAGTTGATCATCGAAAGTATAGGTCTCAGAGGGACTTCTTTCTTGTGTGTCTTTGGAAGGCCATACATATATGGCAAGCGGGACCCTCGGGGTTTCAATTCATTGTACGTGTTGTTGTCAATCAAATTCTTCTTTAGAAGATCTCTCAGTACATTTGTGATGCGTTTTTCAGTTGCATCTGTCTTGTCTTTCTGACAGTCGTCAACTTTAAACCTCAACGGGTCATTCAGCACAGTTTTCATTCTTGCGATGTAGTCATCTTTATCCATCAGTACCACTCCTGAGCCTTTGTCAGGTCGCAGTATGACGATTCTGTCATTATTTCTGAGAGATTTCAATGCCTTTTGATGCTCTTCAGAGAGGAATTTGGAATATGATGT